TATTCAGGTCCTCTGCCCATTTTTTATTTTTATTTTATTTATTTATTTTTAAATCCTCACCTGAGGATATTTTTCCATGTATCTTAAGATAGAGAGGGGGGCGGGGGGAGAAACATTAACATGAAAAAGACATATCAACTGCCTCCCACATGGTCCCAACCAGGGCCAGGGACTGAACTGCAACTGAGGTACATGTCCTTGACCAGAATCGAACCCACAACTCTTTAGTCCACAGGCCAATGCTCTAACTGCTGAGCCAAATCGGCCAGGGCTTCTTTGCCCATTTTTTAATTGGATTGTTTGTCTTCCTATTGTTCATTTGTATGACTCCTCTAAATATTTTGGAGATTAATCCCTTATCTGATGTATCATTGGCAAATATGTTCTCCCAGAGAGTGGGTTCCCTTTTCATCTTGATCCTGGTTTCTTTTGCTGTGAAGAACTGCAAAGCCATTGTAATCACAACATTTAGGTACTGGCACAAGAACAAGCATATAGATCAATGGAACATAACAGAGAACTCAGATATCGAGCCAAGACAGTATGCACAATTAATATTCAACAAAGGAGGCAAAAGCATATAATGGAGAAAAGACAGTCTTTTCAGTAAATGTTGTTGGGAAAATTGGATAGCTACATGCAAAAAAATGAAACCATACCACCAACTTACACCATACACAAGAATAAATTCAAAATGGATAAAGAACTTAAATGTAACTCATGCAACTATGAAAATCCTAGAAGAAAATGTAGGCAGAAAAATTTCAGACATTATAAGTAGTGGAATTTCCGCTAATACAGTGCCTAGGGCAAGAGAAACAAAGGAAAAAAATTAATAAATGGGACTACATCAACATACTTTTGATAGCTTAAATGAAATGGACATTTTCCTTGAAAAATACAACTTACGAAAATGACATAAAATAAGTAAAAATTCTGAATAGTGTTATACCTTTTAAAGGCATTGAATTCATAGTAAAAAAAAAACTCCCCTCCTCTGATAGTATTCTTCAACTGAATTAGATCTCTGTATTAAGTCTTTGAAGGTTTTTCAGAACTTTAAAACTTCACTGTGGCTGATAAGTTCTACAATCAACCCACTTTCCATATAGTTTCGTTCAGATTGATGTCCATTTATTTACATTGCATCCCTTTTGTTGGAGTTTATGGGGATGAATTGTACCATTTTTTTTTTTCTTTCAGCTACTGAATCTTTGAGACATAGGTCATATTAGAATAAAAATGCCAACTTCATCTGTGGGAAAACTGGGTAAAAGAGTGTATTTAAATCTGCAGCTAGTCTTTCTACCCTTTCAAATTGGGTTGATTTAACTTCTCCTGTTGAGTTTACCATGTGGATAAGAGGAGAATGATGTGGGTTTGGTAAAGTAAGTTCTAACAGAAAGAGTGAGAAACTGGTGACATATGTGGCCAGACTTTTGCCCTGTGTCACCAAACAGGTAAGGCAGAGAGCAGAGAGAAAGCACTTGTCAACCTGGGTGAAGCTCTACTCCTATTCTCCCCTTTTCCAAGGTGTCAGAACTAGTCACTCATCTGGAATGTATAGTTCCACTGCTGACCTACTTCCAGTTCCTCATATGTCATCTGGATCTTTCATTTTGGACAAGTTTTTAGAACTTTGATATTTCCATAGAACTCCTCTTTCCTCTCTTCCCCAGAAATTTAAACCTGGCATTTGTAAACAGTGCCATATTTTTTTATAGCCATCTCAGGAAAAAGTATTGAATTCTTCTATCTCTAGATTTTAAAGGAGGCTGATGTGTTCCTTTGCTCTCTACTATCAAGTCGGTGATCACTGTGCCCCTTTTGTGTATCACTTCCTTCTCTTATGCTCCCATCTCCCCTCCTACTTCTTGTTATTGGTTGACTTCAGGACATTACTCCAACTTCCTCAATTATGTCAGTCAGCATCAGACTTGAAACTCTCCTCTCGACCCCACACCATATGATTGTCATTTGTTTCTCCTAATACATGTTTTCGAGTTTCTGATACTCAGAACTCATTATTTTTATAACTTGCTTAGTTCTGTCAACCAGAATTATTTCAAGGTCTCAAATACTAAAAGCCTCCTCTCTCTTACCCTTTCTCCTCTTCTCTGGCAATTTTTTTGCTTTCAAACTTAAATTTAGACTTTCCTTCATTCATATAGTGTCTCTCTATCTCTCCTTTCTTCTCTCCCTCTTTCTCCCTCTTTATCTCAATAAATGGCCTTACCATTGGGTCTTAACTCCCTCAATATTATCCCCTTACATACACTTTTTATTTATATCCATCACACATCCTTTCCTCCATTTCCAATCACAGAAAAATGTTTCTCCTCTTTAATATGGCTAATCCTGTCAGAGTTCTTGATCTCATCTTTTATTGAATTTGCTCCATTATTTATCACTCTCCCTCTACATATCTCCCTTTTACTAGCATTACAATATTAAATATATATATATATATATATATATATATATATATATATATATATATATGATTCAGCATCACTTCCAAACTATGCCAGGCTTCAAAATTCACTAGTTAATTCCCCTTCTTCTTTTTCTTTAATTACCCAATTATTGGAAATTTTTGTTCTCTTTTATTGCTTTCCTGGGATTTCTTTCTTAGGTCACCAGTGACTGGTAAGTTCTTCTTAGTCTTCCTGGCCTGAACAGGCGGGACAGGGCACTCCCTCCTTTTGCTCTCTTTTCTTGACTTCACTGATGGATATCATCTTTTGTGGAAAGCCCCCTTTTCAAATAAATAATCTCTTAACAAGATAAGCAAACTGTTCTATTGACTTGCTGCAGCAAGAGAGATCACACAGATGATTCTGAAGTGGTGCCTCATTAGAGGAAATGAATTTAGGGTTTTTCTTGAATATAGGTTGGGCTCTGAAGTTCTAGTACAAGATAGAAGTGGGGTGAATCTGGGTTGATTGATTTCTTAAGGTACTGGTTAGTGCACACAACACATGGTTGTGATTGAAAAGAAAGGTCTGTTGAGGCCCAAGACATTCTGCATTTCTAACTGTAAATGAACGGTGTTAGTAATTGTTCCAGGACTCAGTCTTGCATAACTGGTGGAGTGGTTATTTTGGTTCTCATTTTCCAGCTGGTCTTCTGTGAATTTTTAACTTTTTACTTTCAGTGCTGGTTTCTTATTATCTTAACTCTTGCAGTAACAAAACCGGTCTCACTGCCTTTTGAATCTTCTCATAGTAACTCACACTCCAAAACCAGACCCATCTTTCTGAAATACAAATTTGAACATAATTTCTACTGAAAAACCCTTGATAGTTTATTTATTTTTAATTTTTTAAATTGATTTTAGAGAGACAAGAAGGGGGGGAGAGAGAGAGAGAGGAAGGAAGAGAGAGAGAAAGGGAAATAGCGATTTATTGTTCCACTTATTTATGTATTCATTGGTTGATTCTCATATGTGCCCTGACCGGGTATCAAACTTGCAACCTTGGTATACGGGGACAATGCTCTAACCAACTGAGCTACCCTACCAGGGCTTGATGGCTTTTTTTGTGTATAAAATAAAACCTCATGTACTGAATGTAGTATTCAACCTCTTTTACTCAACCCCAAATTCCAGTCCTTATCTGTTAGTCTGTCAGTTCCTGCTTCTCATCTCCCTCTCCCCCACTTCCCTCCCTGCTTCTTTCCCCTCCCTCATTCCTTCTCTTCCTCCCTTTCTCCTCCACTTTCTAATTTTTTCTTCTTTACTCCCAAACTATATTCTTTCTTTGTTGTTGTAAATCCTCACCTGAGGATATTTTCTCCATTGATTTCTGGAGAGAGTGGAAGGGACGGGGGAGAAAGAAACATAGATGTAAGAGAGACACATCAATTGGTTGTCTCCCGCATGCACCCCGCCAGGGACGGGGGATCGAACCTGTGACCCTTCAGTGTTTGGGCTGACACTCTAACCACTGAGTGACACTACCCAGGGCCCCAAGCAATACTCTTATAGAAGTGTATTGACTATTTCTGAGCTCACACTGTACATGTGGCCCCTATACCTAAAATAAAGTAATTTTTATTTCTTCCTGGAATGTTTCCAAATCTTACCTGCATCTTATTAAAAGTCCTATCTCTTGAAACTCTATTTACATTTTACCTTTACAGTGTATGTTAGTTTGCTAGGATTTATTTGCTCAGTTTGGAAACTAGGAGGCCAACATCAGGATGTCCCCAGGTTTGATTTCAGGCTTCTCTCCTTGGCTTACAAATGTTTGTCTTCTTGCTGTCTCCTCCCCTGGTCTTTCCTCTGTGCTTGTGCCCCCAGCATCTCTCTGTGTGTCCTAATCTCTTCTTAGGACACCAGTCAAATTGGATAAGGCCCAAACTAATGGCCTCATTTTAACTTGATCACCATTTTAAGTGACTTATCTCTAAATATAGTCACATTCTGGGGTACTGGGGGTTAGGGCTTCAATACATAAATTTAGGGGGGCACAATTTAGTCCACAACACAGAACCTTCCCACATATTTCTTTTAATAATTAACCCTCCCCAAAATCCCATAGCACCTTTTACAATTTGTAACACTTTCTGCTTTGACATGGGGTTATTCATATTTGTCTGTCTTCTCTGGTAGTTTATAGGTTTCTTAAGGATAGAAACTATCTCTTATGCAACTTTATCTCTCCCTGCTCTAGTACTGAATAGGGCTTGGTCATTAGCTAAATTTTAAAGATATAATTAAGTGTAAATCAAGCTCAGTATCTAATATATTTTCCAGAATTTTTAGGAAATTGACCAAAAATATATGCAGGGAATGTATTATATCTTCTACTTTAGAATTCTTTGAACATTGTTTAAGATTTTTATCTTAGGTCCTTAAATTATACATAGTATAAGTAATATCAATTTTATAGAACTTTATATAACTCTTTTATGGTCTTTAAAAAGTAATCATCTAATTGGCTTCTATAAGCTATCAATTATTTCCATTTTATTACTTACATTAACTTTTTTTTCAGATAAAGATGAATGTCATGTCTCATTGAATACCAAAAGTTTGAAGTTTAGAAGACATTTGCTGACTCAGATCACTGCAAGTATGTTTCCTCACCTCTGTCTTAGCACTAGCTTAAGATTAATTTAAAATGTAAAGAGTTAAGTCCACTACCTTTGACACTTTCTCAACTCTCAAATTTCTCAGAATATCTTAGCACCGCTTTGTGTATTGAATCACACATCTTGGAAAATAGTGGAACGATTTTTTATTACATTTCATGTGCTCATTAAAATATAATGTTTAAACTTGTGGTATTATATTTAAAATGAGACTAACACCTCAAAATAATCTTTTATTTTGTTTATGTTGTCAGGCTGTAAGAAAAACACTTCATAAATTTTAGAGAATTTAATTTGTTCAGTCATCAAAAGCTCTAAGCACAGGAGGAATGTCTACTTTATGCTTCATACCACTGTAGATGCTAGGGGCTAGGAAATGAGAATCAAAGTATTATGAAAAGTTTGCTTTTCCTCCAAGAGCCTGAAAAACAGGGAGTGAAGTATGAAGGAAACACTCACAGTTCAAACAATAGTTTATTAATTGCCATAAAATACTTCATGAAGATAACAAATGATCTTGGGGTTATCAGAATGGCAATATTGTTGTTTCATCATGTAAAGGTAGCGGTGGGATTTCAATTAGTCTTAGAGGAATAGTGAAGATTTAAATAAACAGCTAGGGGAGGAAATTATATTCCAGGTTGGATTAACAGCATGAATAGAGGACTAGAGATACAAAAACAAAACAGCAATACTGGCTGGAGTAGAAGGTTAGTTCATGTTGGGTGAAATAATAGGTGGGAAAATTACACCAGTGGTTCAACTCTGGCAGTGAATAAGTTATCCGTAGATACTCTTAAAAATACAAGTCTCTTGATCTTTCCCTAGAACTAATAAATAGAACTTCTGGGCCATGAGACATAAGCCTCTTTTCTTTTAAAGCTCTTCTAGTGATTGAGAACCATTGAATTAGAAGGATGGTCCAAATTTAGGAAGCCTTGAATGCCTTATTGAGGAGTTGGGTCTCTGTTTCGCAAGCAGTGGGAAGCCCCAGAGGTTTCTGAGATGAGTGACATGATCAAATTGGTGTGTGCCAAGATAAATGTTCCGTCCGCTCCTGGTAATAAAAGAGAAATAAGAAACTTGAATTAGAGCAGTGGTGGTGGGAAAAAAGAGAAGGTAACATTTTTAAGTGTACTTAGATGTGTGGGAGTTGATGATCTCAGCCTTGACCTCAGCATGATTTGTTTTATAAACTGATTATAAAACTTGTCCCTCATTAATTTGATCTCTTTTCTCTTACAACCTGGCAACTTAAACAGTAATTTCAGCCAGTTGCATTTATTAGAAGGAGACCATTTTCTACTCATATACATATCTAACTCATAATAGTAAGTGAAGTTATGTGTATGAAGGATATGACCTTTAACATAATCATTATAAAGCATTTAAACCACCCACATATGCAGTAACATACCTTCGTTCTACAGGATTGTGCCAAGAATTGGAGTCACTTATACAAGATAGTTATTGGTCAAAATCTGAAGACATATTTTAAATCATGCTATGCATTTTAATATTTTTAGCATCAAATTTGATAATTGCTTGACCTATGCATGCCTCCTGACAACAGCAACTGTGCTTCCTCTGAGCTTATGCTTTTGTTCTGCCCACATCCGCTGTCCAGGTAGCCCCTTGCCTCCTATTCAAGCCCATCCCCTCCTAGGGTCTGTCCATGAGAACCCCCACCCAATCCTCACCCAAGTGAGCCAGCATAGAGGAGATTCAAAGAAGTCAGATTTAAAGTCTTCTTGTGGTACTGACACTGGGGACTCTCACTCCTGGCCACTGTGGGACATGACAGCTCCTAGGGTACACCCCCATTTAGGAGTCTCTAACCCTGCCATAAGTTGGAAATATTTTATACCTTTTTGATGTGTATTGAATACTTTATGTCTTGAAACAAGGAGCCATATTTATTAGATAGCAGAGAATAAGTTCAAGGAATGGCCTGACTCCTAAAAGACTCAACGTAATGGATTTTTTTTTCAAAAGAATCACTCTCTCAGCTATTCTGTAATGGTACATACATGACTATAATTTCTGCTGTGGTCTTCTTTGCCTATAAAGGAATTTATTGTTGTGTTATTAATATTGCCACATTCCTTGAGTTACATTTCTATAGCTGCTTAGGTTTTCACTAATCATCCAGGTGTTTAACCAGAGAATGGATAGTCTGCTTAGATTTGAAGGATCCTATAGGAAAAAGGGAAGAGAAGGGACCTAACATTTGTTGAGTGTCCTCCCTGTGCTATGTTTCTTACATGTATTTTATCTACATTTTACACATGACCAACTTGGGATTTAGAGAGGCTTAACATTTTTATCTGACATCAAAACTCAGTAGAACTTGGTTTTGATTCCAGGTCTGTCCATCTGTCTAAATAGCTGGTCTTAGAAGTCCAAATGACTTTTTTATATTGGGAAAGATCAGCGAACTCAGAATCACGGACTTTGAGTACAGGTTTTACCTCTGTAACTAACAATGCTGAACAAGTTATTTAAAGCTCTCAGCTTTAGTTTACTCATCTGTCATATGGGGATAAAACCTGCATTACTGGCCATTACAGTTTGTTATGAGAATAACAAACTAGTGAGTTTCAGTGTGAGTTTACAGGTATAAAAACCAATGGAAGATTGAGAGGTTTTTAATTCAAGCAAAAAATAAATTGAAAAAAACAAAAAACAAAACATGAATGAGATGACTTGAACAGATTTTGTAGTATTTCATTTAACATTGCTCTACAGACTTTGCAAAATAATGCTTGTCAATTTTGCAAGTCCCAAACAACGTGGGACTTTAATATTTCATTGTAGCAGATTGTCCTGGCAATATATCAAGTACTTCCTTTCACTCACCAGAAGCAATCATTAGTTTTTGTTTTTGTTTTTGTTTTTTTTCACTTATCTTCAGATAGAGCAGAAGGGAGAGAGGGAGGAAGAGAAAGAGAGAAACATCAATGTGAGAGAGACACATCAAGTGGTTGCCACCCACACGACCCCAACCATGGCTGGGGACAAACTGCAACCGAGGTACGTGCCCTTAGCGGAAACTGAACCCAGGACTCTCCAGTCCGCAGGCTGATGCTCTAACAGCTGAGCCAAACTGGCCAGGGCAGCAATCGTTAGTTTTTATACCATATCCAATAGGCATGAACTCTGGTAGATACTGAAGAAATGTTCATAGCCAATGAGGAATTAGATGATTCTAATAGCAACAAATTTAATGGACTAGAGTTGATGTTAACATTCTCAAAAAATATTCTTTATATATTTGAAGTTTTTTTAACAAGTCTGAATAATAAAGTCATCTGAATAATAAAGTCACATTTTTTAAAACTGCTTTGTACACAAAACTGCTTTTCCAAAATGTTTTCGGGTTTCTGGCTTCTTTAAGTATATATATAAGATATAAGAAATTTAGGGACCTCTTTAAGTTAGTACAGTGCTATGAATGAAGTGGCAGTGAGCCTGAGATCATGCCCTAGGATTTCCTAAAACCTTACCCAATTAGAGCTCTAAGTCTCTTATACAACAAACTGACAAAGACAAATGCCTTAGGAAGACCAGCTGACACAATAGAAGAATGGTATTAGATTTCAGGTGTGAATCCAGAAGAGCGCACCTGTTCAGTCTTGGTAAGTGTGTAGGACTCTTCTGCATCTGCCACACTGAGTACATCCCAAAGAGGGTTCCCTAGTCCTCAGGTGCTGTCTTCCACGTGGCTTCTAGTGCCAGAACTGGACCTGCTTCCTAGACCTGGTGGATGCATGATAACTCCAGTGAGGGCCTAGTCCATTGAAGTGAAAGGGAAGTAAACATGAAAAGCAAAGAAAACACACAAAGTAGAGATTGTGGCCAGATTTGATCCATAGATAAGTCATGTTTGGCTTGCACAATGTTTGTTTTATCATGAATTAGTCTTTAACGAGTATTATTTTAACTAGTTACTCATTTAATTGGTTGTTAACTAATTTAATGTTCAAATCCAGAATTCTGGGTACTCTTGTAAGATCTGGCAACTTTAGTCTCACCTTTCCATGTGGCAGTAATCAGGTAGGCTGGAGTAGAAGCTGCTGTTACTAGATGGGAGGCTGTGTTTTCAGTTCTCCCAGCCCTATCCCTGGCTGTTGATTTTCTTTAAGTAAAATTAAGAGGAAAGTTAAATGTTACTTATACTGCCTTCTGTATTAAAATTGGAAATAACAGATTGATTGGATGGCGTATTTTAGTATAAGTGAGAAAACAGTGTTAGTTTCCTAGGGTTATCATAACAAAGCACCATATGGGTAGTTTTAAACAACAGAAATTTATTCTTTCACTGTTCTAGAAGCTAGAAGTCTGAAATTGCAATGTTGGCAGGGCCATGCTCCCTCAGAGTCCTCTAGGGGACAATCCTTGCAGCTTTTTTTTTTTTTCCCTTCCAGCTTTTGGTAGCCTTTTTCAGCTTCTGGTAGCCCTATCTAGGTCTTCCTTGGTTTGTGGCAGTATAACTGCAATCTCCGATCTTCTGGCTGTCTTTCCTCTGTGTCCAAATTCCTCTTATAAGGATGGCAGTCATATCGCATTATGGCCCACCCGAATCCCGTATAACTTTACCTTAATCTGATTACATTTACAAAGTTCCCATTTTCAAATAATATTGCATTTATAGGACCTCACCATAACATTTTGGGGAACACAACAACATAATAGATGACATATTTTGTTGTAGAGTGCAGAATAATTGTTTAAGAACCAAGATTCTTGAGACAGAGTACCTGGAATCATATTTATACCTTATTTGCTATGTTATCCTAGATAAGCTGCTTAGCCCTCTTAGTGCCTCCATGACCTCATCTATAAAATGAAGATAATGGAATCTACTTCATAGTGTTGAAGTAAGGACAAAATGAGTTAATATATATAAAGCACTTAGAACAGTGTGTTGCACATACTTAGTATTCTGTAAACTGAATTATTATTATTATTTTATGTTATT